TTTTTGAGATAACACTAACTTTTTTGATGGGGCAATAACGTAGAGGTTTTGCTTTAGAAACTTTATATTGTCAGTGTATAGAGGAAAGACTGGAATCTGGGAGTCCAATTATGAGGCTGTGGCTGCTGCCTAGATGAAAAGAAGGGAGAGCAGACCCAGGGCATTTATGATGGGAGAAGAGGAAAGATGTGACAGAAGAAGTGGATGGAGAATTCCCAAGCCTTGGTGACTAAGTAAAACTCGGGGAGAAGATAACAGAGTGGCTGGGGTTCAGAATGACTCTGCGGTAAAGAGAACAAAACATCTGGACAACCAAACAACTGGACAAACTAAAAACAATCTGAGGGTCTTTATGAAAAAGAGGCAGAGAGATGCTCTGAGAAGAAAGAAGCTGCTTGTCCTCCTGAGAATGAGAGCAGAAAACCACAAAAGTGTCAAGTGGGAGACTGTCCACTAAAGGACAGAAGGAGTAGGTAAGTGGTCGTTCCCTTCTCAGAGGCACTGAGGCAGCTACCTGTCCACCTGATGACATCAGAGAAGTCCATTTGGTCCTTGGGATATGTATCAGATATGACAGAGAGCCTCTAAGGCACATCAGAACAGGTACCAACTGCTCCATCTTCACGAGCATGACCTGAGGATAAATGACACATGCAGAAGGACCCTATGAAGTACTGCCAATAATTACACGATTTTCATCAAGAAACCACAGGGACATTGGGCGTGTCTGTCTTGCTTGAAGACAAGGGATGCAGAAGATGGCTAAGAAAGAAGATGGCATCAGAGAGTGGTACTTGGGCTTCTGATTCACGGTTTAAAATACCAGGATGACAGGTTCCCAGCCAGAGATGGAGTGCACCTAACAGAGAATGATAAGCATCTATTTGCCAGTAAGCTTGAAAAACATTCTCAGAAAGGCTTTAAAGTAAAACAGCTAGGGGAGGAAGAAGCTTGCCTGTGTATATCCTTCCAGTTGGACACCATAGAGGATGGCTAAAGAAAAAGAATAGCAGAGGTTCACCGAAACAAATCCAAGGAGCCAGTAGTAAAATGTGCAACCTTAAGTGCCTGCACACAAACACTCAACATGTATGCAGCAAACAAGAGACGCTAAGGATCCAAACAGAACAGAGGGAAATGGGATCACTTAGCTATGACTGAGGCTTGATCAGATGAACCTCTTGACTGGACAATGACTCTGAATGGGTAAACCTTATTCAAAAATAAAAACAGAATAAGAGGGATTGTGGGGTAACATTGCACAGAAACCTTAAAAGTCAGTGCAGTTTTAAGCTTTAATAGCTTAACTTTTTTTTTTGCAATTGGGGTTAAGTGAATTGCCCAGGGTCACACAGCTAGTAAGTGTCAAGTGTTTGGTCTGAGGCCAGATTTGAACTCAGGTCCTCCTGACTTCAGGGTCAGTGCTCTAACCACTGCACCACCTAGCTGCCCCATAATAGCTTAAATTTTAATAGCCTAAAACTTCACTAAGAGTTTGGGGTGCCCTGGATATTGATAAGGCAGACTAATGTGAGGAAATTCAGGAACTGGAAAGGGGAGCATGCCAGAGAATGTTTGGGTGAAAGTCAAAGAGAGATAAAAGAAGTGATTTATTGGGTTTTTTTTTCAATTATACTAGAGACAACCTGGACAGAAAGCAGAAAGAGATGAGGAATTTGATAAATAGAACACAAGTGTGGCACAGAAGCATGATTAAGTACTCATAGAGGGCACACTACCTTTCTCTCTTTGCCAAAGGCAGAGCAGCGAATAATTTTTTTCTACTTAAAGTAGGGATAATTTCATCCTTTAAAAGTTGGGGGATTTTAGGGGCAGCTAGGTAGCGCAGTGGATAGAGTACCTGCCCTGGATTCAGGAGGACCTGAATTCAAATCTGGCCTGAAACACATAACACTAACTAGCTGTGTGATCCTGGGCAAGTTCCTCAACCTCATTGCCTAACCTCCCCCCCCCGAAAATAATAAAACAAAACAAAAAAAAAAAACGTTGGAGTATTCAACAAGGAAAAAAAATATCTTCTAGATCTGATGCTCACTAACAGAAAGAAAATGTTTCCTGGAATGGAAATGGTGAGAATCCTGGGGAGAAGTGACCTCTTCTTCCTCAAGTTTGTAATAAAGGAGAGGAAATCAGGCCATAGTATGACATAAACTCTCGATTTTGAGAAAGTAGATTTAAAAGAGATCAGAGGAAAATTAAGTATTATCACAAGGAAGAAAATGCTTCAGGGGAAGTCAGCCCAGGAGGCCTGGGGAGATGCTCAAGAATGAAATTCCAATGGAAAGAAAAAAGGAAAATGATCCAAAGAGGAAGAAAAGTGCGATTTTTCTGAAAAGACTCATGTGGATGCCCATGGAGCTCACCAACTGACTTAGATTTTAAAAAGTAAAGTGCAAGAGATGGAAACAAGGCCAGGACAAAAGGATGGATGTGACTATAGCATGCACAGCTCTTTAAAACATGGCGTCAGGCATGCTAAAGCTCAGAATGAACCGGGCGGAGCTAGCAAGGGAAGTCAAGAAAGCAAAGTATTTGTTTGTTTGCTTGTTTCTTCTTTCGTTGTAACTGTACTGAAAGAGAACAAACACAGTGAAGTCCTCCTACCAGCTCCCTGGAGCCAATCCTTAAATTCTCAGAGAGAGCATTTACAACTCAGAAATCAGAGAATGCTGTGAATCAGAGCCTGATTGATTGCTTTGTTAATTGTATAGACTTAAGAAAATGTTGGAGAAAAGGTTCATAATGCCAAGTTAGTTTGAAAGTGTGTCCTACATATGTGTATGTATTAATTTTCTGGAGAGCCAGTTCTTCAATATTTACCAGCTTACCCCTGGAACAGAGTATTGAAGAAGGAGTGGGACCAGTGCTTGGCATGGAAGGGATGAAGAAAACTAACAACGAAGAGAAAAGCAATGTTGCTCCCACTTTTACTTTGGTTTTGCTTGTTTTGGCCTTTCCACTGGAAATGACACAACCCAAATATTGACAGAGCAGAGAATAGTAAGGAGATGATCAGAGGGCATCTGGATACCCTTGAGGAATGCAAGTTGCTTTACTCAGACAAACTCCATCCAAGGATCTAGAAATAACTGGAATGTGTGATTGCTATGCTACTCTCTGTCCCATTTGAAAGACCATGGAAAACATACCCCAAGATTAAAGATGTGCAAATGGCCTTATTTTCAAAAATGTGGAAAGACCTGAGTCTGCAAACTATAGACCAACAAGGTTGACTTAGATATGGGCTATCATTCTAGGACTCATCATTAAAGGGACGGTTGGTGAACATCTAGAAAGGGAAACAGTGATTACAAAGAGGTAGCCTGTCTTCATCAAACAATGGTCATGTCAGACTAATTTCATCTCCTTTTTTGTAGAGGATTATTAAACTAGGAGCTGAGAGAAATGTTATAGACATAGTCTACCTAGATTTAGCCAAGCTTTTGATAAAATATCTCATACCATTCTTTTGGAGAAGATAGAAAGATATGGCTTAAATGATAATACCACAGAATGGATTCAAAACTAGTGGAATGTGTCCAGAGTCAAAGAGTAATTGTTAATGATTCAATGTCATTGTGGTAGGAGGTCTCTGGTAGAATGTCCTAGGATTCTGCTCTTGACCCTGTCCTGCTCCACATTTTTATTAGTAGCTTGGATAAAGCTATAAAAGGTATATTCATCAGATTTGCAATTGATTCACAACTGGGAGGGATGGTTAACATATCGGATGTAAGAGACAGGATCGAAAAAGGTTTTAATGGGCTATACCAGTGGGGCAAATATTATTATGAGATATAATAAGGATAAATATGAGATTTCAGAATTAAGTTCAAAACAATTAAACACACAAATATAAATGCCAGTGGGAAGTATGGCCTTTGAGGGTAGGGACTTTGTGATCTTTAATCTTCTAACCTCAAGCACTAAACATGGTCCTTTGCACATAGTAGGTATTTAATGTTTGTTAATTGAATTAATGGGTGTGGCTAGAAGAGAGTTTCAGTTTTAAGAAAAAGATCTTGGATTTTATTGGGTTGCCAACTCAATAGGATTCTATAATGTGATATGGTAGCCCCCCCAAAAAAAAACCACATAACATGATACTAGATTACACTAAGGAAGGTAGTGGGTTCAGAACAAGGAAAGCCGGAATCTTACTCCAGTATTCTGTGCACAGACCACATCTGGGCCAGTTCCTGTTTGGACAGCCTCTTGTCAGAATGGACCTCAACAAGGTAGGTGGTGTTGAGGAGAGCAATCAGGAATGTGAGGTGACCAGAAACCCAGACCTATGCTGCTGCCTGGTTTGTGAACATGGAGGAGAGGACAGGTAACTGTCTTCCAAAACTTAAGGGCTGATTTCCAAGGATTTGGTCTCAGAAGAAAAAAGGTAGAGAATGATGCAGCTGGTGCAGAGAAGCAACTATTGATTGAAGATGAAGGACTTATTTATACACAAAACTACTGGAGAGTGTAATGGGATATATAGAATGTAGTGAGCTCTCCATGAGAACCCTAGATGTCCTCAGGCTAAGCGAGGAGAACCAATGATTTTGGACTATGTTGTAGAAGGAATTCTGGCCCAGGTATGTGATAGACTGGATGCCTGTGGTTTCTTCCATTTCTATGGGCCTAGAAAACATTCAGAAGAGTTCGGCAGGGAACTGAGTGTGAATGCTGCCATTAAAAAAAAACAGACCCTAATTTTTTCTATCTGGCCTGGTTATCTCAGCAAAATTTGTCATCATCTCAGTCCCTCTCATTTTGAGAAGCTGCCCAAAAAACCACAAGCTGCCCCTTGACCCCAGGCTTGCATGCATCCTACCAGTCTCTGGGAAAAGGAAAAAAAAGTTGCTAACTCCTATAGGACCAATAAAAATGAGTGGGACCGTTCTTGGCCCCCTGGAGGCAGAGGCAAGTTCCTTGGATCCAAGCAAGCCTGCCGCTTCTTTCCTGTAACAAAATAACCTCCCTTTGCCTTCCCACATCTTGGAGGTCCCTTGGGCTGCTCGGTATGTGTTCCTTCCCCTTCCCCCAAGGACAGTTTTGGTTCAGAAAGGAATGAGGCTTTGCCTAATTCTCTCTCTCTCTCTCTCTCTCTCTCTCTCTCTCTCTCTCTCCCCTCCTTTTTATTTTTCCTTCCTGCAATGCCTTGACCTTGCTCTCCTTCTGTATCTGGGCCCATTTGTTCATTGCAGTACCAGCTCCTGTCCATTATTAATTGGCTCCTTAATTGAAGCCACCCCAGCAGTTTCCATGAGGTTAGTCCAGAGCTGACTTCTCCCGAGCAGGCTGTCTGGTTTTAATCAAAACCAAATGAAAGTCCACGCTCCCAGCCCGGAGCCGCTCCTTCCTTCAGAGGAAGTCATTCGGAGGAGGCACAAGCAAGCCGGAGGAGAGAGATAGACGAGCCCGTCCCCAAAAGGGGCTCTGGGCACTGCCAGGGGCTGCTGCTGGGGCAGGAATTGGACCAGGCCCTCCCTGAAGCCCCAGAGACTCTAGTCGGCAGGGCTTCATCTGTCAATAAAAGCCACCTAGGCTCAGGATGATGGGGACATCTCCTTTTCCGCAGATGGCTGGGTGCGACTCCAGTGGCCCCCCACCCAAGGTAAGGCTGAGCTGGGCTTCCAGCTCCTTTTGTCCTGCTAGGAGGCAGTCTCATGGTCTGGGGGCATTGGGGCCCGGGAGGGGTACTGTGTCTACAGATAGGAGAGGATTTGCTTGAGAATTGGTGTTGGAAAAGGCCCACACTCCTCCATTGCCTTCCAGGATTCCCTGTGGAGTCCCAAAGAGAAAAAGAATGTTGGGAGAGGTCGGAGAACGGGGGGCCTCTGTTTAGGGCAGTGAGAATGGCCTTACTGTAAGCAGCTTAGGATGGAAAATATCTGGGAAGGCCAGAGCTGCAGAGAACGTTTTCTAGTCTTGACAGATTAGTGCTGGGCTTTGAGTTCAGAGGGAAAATTCTCCAAATGCCCAGCCTGGTTCGTTTCTTGTTGGCTGGCCCTCCTAGCCTTGCTTTCCTCCTCCTTCATTCTTTTTCTCTTTTCCATCTTGAGGTCTCGCCCTGCCTCTCTCCCCTTCTCTCCTTCTGTCATGCAGTCTCTCTTCCTCTCTGTCTTCATTCTTTCTCACTCTCTCTCTCCCCTTCTCCCTCTCTCTTTCCATCATGCTCTCTCTCTCTCTCTCTCTCTCTCTTCTCTCTCTCTCTCTCTCTCTCCCTCTCCCTCTCCCTCCCTTCCTCCCTCCCTCCCTGGCAGGAAATACTTTCCAAGCAATCTGGGGCCTGCTTGTAGAGGGCCCTCTCACAAAGCATCAGTCTGAATTTAGCAGACACGAGTTCCTGCCAGGGACAGAAACTCAGCAGTCTGGGCTTGGGCTCTAACTCCCTCCGGCTGCCCGAGGAGATTTTGTTCAGAGTTTCTGCCCAGGGCAAAGCCAGGATCTGAGCAATGAGAGCCGGGCTCTGGGTATGGGAGAAACTCCCAGGGATGTCCAGCTTAGAGCTACAGGGAGCTTCGGTGCTGCTGGTGATCTGTCCATCATTATTTCCTTGATGGGTAAGAGGCTTTGGGGGTGATAAACGACAGCATCTTGTACTGGCCAGTGACTTCCAGGCTCAGACAGGGTAGGAATGGTGGTTGGTGGGGAACTGTATAGCAGTTATGGTGAGCGAAATGTCAGCTGTAAAATAAAGTCTGGGTGTGGGTTTGATTTACTTTCTCCCTAAAAAGAAAAAGAAAAACAAACAGAACAGGAAGGCTCATTCACTCAGCCCCTCCTGCCCCTACTTCTTTGTAAACAGATTGTCAATTCATTTTTTCCTCAGACTCGATAGACACATAGAGATACAATTTGCACTTGAGAGGAAGGTGTAGATTTATTTTTCACTTCCCTTGTCAATGGGGAGGGCAAATGTAGCCCTTATCTTTAATAGTAGGGCTCCAGTGGATACACACACACACACACACACACACACATACATACACACACACACATCTACCTTTGAACAATGTGAGGCCAGGAGGTTTGTCTCCAGCCTGCCCCTTTTGGACTGAGGTCCAGAGATTGAACTTCAAGGGAGAATCTTAAAAATGTAAGTTACATGAGTGAAATTTCAGAACTGATTTCCTGTCCCATCTGGCCCATCGCCATGATGGAAGGAGAAGTCACAATTAAAGTAGAGTCATGGTCCGCTGTTTGGGTCCTGGGCAAGAGGAGCTTTTCAGAAAATCCATAAAGGTGGCATCGGGGCCTTGGGTGGCACGGTGAGCTTGGGGAAAGCCACCCCTGCCCCTTTTTTGTGTGTTCATCCAGCACATATGGTTGTATTTCATGTGGTTATGTAAAGCTCAGCCTGCAGGAATGAGTGATTTATGTCTGTCCCCAAGTCCCTGCACCAAGAGATTTCTGTCAACTTGGTACGCAGCCTAGATAAGACAAATGAGGCTGGCTTATGTCTGACCCAGGGGCCTCCTCGATGCCCTGTCCTCCAAACCTCTAGTAGAGATCTGTGTTGCTCCACACTGTCTTCTTCCCTTCCCCTTGGAGCTGGTTAGAGTTGGTCTGACCCAGCTCTTTGCCCTTGGCCTCATTTCATCAAGATCTGGAGGGGATAGGGGTGAGAACAACCATACAGGCCCATACAAATAACTACAAAATACAGGCAGAGCAAGCAAAAACTAGTAATTGGGGTTGAGGGTGGGTTGTACTAGCCAGCGGGCAGGGAACGGTCAGAAGCTACCTGGTAAAGGAGATGGTAAAGCCTTTGGGCCAAGCTGTGATTGACAGGACCTTGGGATTCCAAGAGGCGGGGCTAGGGAGAGAGGACTACTCAACGTTGCCTCTGTCCACTCGAACACCAGGAATTGCCTTGCCATCGGCCTCACTGCTCCTGAAAAGGAGAGGGCAGTCCCTGGTGGTCTGGCTGTCCTCTCAACCCTGGAGCACAACCTCCTTTCTTTGGCTGCCATATCCCAACCATGTTTTACACCCCTAGGAAAACAGAAAGGCCTCAAAGGCCGAGCCCAGTTCACTTTATTTTCACATCCCCAGGGCCCAGCTCACAAGAGGTGCTTAATAAATGCTTGTGGAGGGAGGGAGGGACTAGAGTAAACCCACCCACCATGACAAGAGCCACCAACTGGACCAGCAGCTCCAACTACGGTGCTTGATCGTGCAACACAAATCTACTTATTTTGCACTTATCTCTCTGGATTACCATGTGAATTATGACAGGCGTTCTAAGACATGCACAGAAGTAGACGTTTTAAAAGGCTGGCATAAAGATAAAATGCCATTTTACATTGGAGGCAATTGGGAGCCACTGGTTTATTGAGGCAGAGAACGATACGGTGAGACCTCGGCTTTGGTGGCTGATGGCGGACAGACTAAAGTGGGGGAAAGCTGAGGCAGCAGTGCCCCTAGCAGCCACTGAAACAGTCCAGGTGTGAGGGGAGGAGGGCCAGCCCCAGTCTGGGAGCAGAGACAGAGAAGAGAAGAGGGCGTATTTGAGAGATGCCTCAGAGGTGAGCTTGATGGGCCTTGGCAACAACTAGGATGTGGGGTGGGGAGGAGAGGGAGGAGTCCAGGATGAATCTGCAAGTTTGCAAGGAGTCCTGGTTTGCAAGCCTGGGTGATTAGAAGAATGTGGGAGCGTGAGAAGCCCAAGCAATGGTTAAGCTCTTACTGTTTGCTGACATTGTGCTAAGTTCTTGAGGAGCTCACAGTCTAAAGAAGCATGTAACAAGCAGAAGAGAAGGGAACAAGCATTTATTAAGCCCCTGCTAAGTATCAGATTTTGTGTGGAAGCTTTACAAATGTTTGAGACTCACACACTGCCTGGAGGGAGGGGCTGTTATTATCCCCACTTTACAGATGAAGAGACTGAGGCAGACAGAGGTTAAGTGACTTGGCCAGCATCACACAGTGAGAAGGATGTAAGGTCAGATTTGAACTCAGGTCTTCCTCCCCAGGCCCAACCTTCTTTTATTAAGCACTTACTAGGTATCAGACACTTTACAAATATTATCTCATTTGATCTAAGTACAAACAAGACAGATCAAATAAACTGGAGGTGATTTCCGAAGGGGAAAAGATTATACCATGAGCTCTGAAATGCCTGCTCCTCCTCTCATCCCAAATACAAAGGCATGGGGTTCTTCTGTGTGCACAGAGCCCATCCTCCAAAGGGCACCTGCATCAGCCACAGGATGATCTGCTAGACAGGTGACAGGAATGCAGAGGGTTAGAAGTCTATGCAGCTGCTCCTGCTGCTCTGAGAGACCAAGCCCCAGCTCTAGGGGAGGCTGTCTGGAAGTATACTGAGGTGCCTAAAGACTGGAATGATGGGAGCTAAAGGGGAAATGGGTTGTGTTGGGAATGAGCCCTGTGATTGGCTACTAGGGGGAGATCTGAATTCTTCTTCCCCTCCCCCCTCCGTGATTTGTTGCTCACACACACACACACACACACACACACACACACACACACACACACACATACCCCTGTCAGGTTTGGGGTCAGGGGATGGTTCCCTATATGATCCTCTTCTCTCCTCTGGAGAACAGTTCTCTCAGTCCTTTCAAAATCCATGGTTACCAATGAAGTCCAAGGGCTGTCCAGCAGGAGCACCTTCTCTCCCCGAATGATGAGGCCATCTTCTTCCCCAGACATTCATCTCCCTGATAATAAGCTTTATGCTGTGTCTACAGAATCTGTTAGAGCCAGCTCATGATCATTAGGCACAATTCCATCCTCTTAGGAGATCCTCAACTTTGGTTCTTCTGAGACATTTTAAGTGACTCACATGCAGTCCTACCCCATCAACAGAAGATTATTGCTGTTAAAGAGGTTGGTCCTTGTTTCAAGGAGAAGTTTAGGGTCCATAAGTGGACTGTAATGTTTCCTGAGGGAAATCCCTTCTGCTCTCTTCCTCCTCTCCCACTCTGGCCCAGTCCACTGGCCATTAGCTAGATCTGTCCAAAGTGGGTGTCCTGATGGGCCAGCTCCTGTAGGTGTCTGATCACCTGCCTCTCACAATCTCTACAACAGGTATTCTTCATCCACTTGGGGTTTCCTGTGTAAATAGGTTGAATTCTTTTGAGTGGTTACAGACCCCATCCAGGAAGCTCTGAGACATTGCAGGGCTCCAAGCAATCGATCACCATAAAGTTGGAAGGTTCTCTCTAGATACTGCAATGGATAGCCTCCAGGAAAGTGATGCTCACTTTTGGCAAGCTTATGTGTGTATATATATGTGTGTGTGTGTGTGTGTGTGTGTGTGTGTATATATATGTATATATATATAATATATATATATATATATATATGCAATTATCAGGGCATTGTTGAACAAACTGTTCTCCTGTCACACATATGCCTTTGAGATACTATTGAATCAAAAGTCTAAAATCAGCAAAAACCCACATATGGTGGGGTCTTGTGTTCCCTAGACCTTGTAATCAGTTGTGGGCCTATAGAATGTCATTAGAGAAAGCCCATCTTTCCCCTCTCAAACGTTTTGTCACAATGCCCTCACTACAGAGAGAAGAGGCTCTGAAAGTTTTATTCCCTTAAAAAATTCTAAAGATGGAAAGTAGACATATGGAT